TCAATCACAGGACACACCACAAAAGAATCAGATGGAAACTATTGCCTATCGTGGTGCCCCTCACGAACTCAAAACCCAATGATCGTAGTTGGATGCGGCAATCAAAACAGCGCCAAAGTTAGTAGTGCGAATGTGTAATTTCTTATTCGAATTTGGGTTACTTTCTTAAATATGACCATTACTGTTTATCGATTAGATTTTCCGACAAGATTCATCACAAAAATGGCTATCTCATGAAATATTGGATGGACATATGATGCCTGTGTATGATGTTAGCTGGGCTCCCAGTATGGGAAGGTAAATCATATTATCAACTATATAATCTGCTAACGTATCAAAATGTTAACTTTTTTCATTTAACTTACCTCTTAGGAGTTACCATCTTATTGCTACCGCATCTAAAGATCATCACGTTAGAATCTTCAAACTAGTAGATAACAAAAAAGATGGTTTCGACGTCACGCCTGTCGCCCAACTTCCAGATCACAATGTAGAGGTATGGATATTTTCAATAATATGACACGGCTAATAACATCTTTTTATCGGTAATTTTTTGATTAAATGTTTTCTTCTTACCACTCAGGTTTGGAAGGTTGAATGGAATGTAACGGGTACTATATTGTCATCATCGGGCGACGATGGGAAAGTTCGATTGTGGAAATGTAAGTGATGTTATTACCAGTCAAAAAAATTCAAGTTCTGTTTTCTAAAATTATTTTTCGTTCATATTTTAAAGATTCGCTCCAATCTGGAGAATGGAAATGCATGAACACCATATATTATGATCGGCAGCCAGAAAGTATGGAAATGTAAGACAACTACTCATCACTGACGTTTTTTGAATCAAGATTTACATCACAATATAAACGGACATCAAATTGTTTTTAAACGCGAAAATATCATCTTAACTTGTATTAAATAATAATAATCTTGTTTATATCTTCATTATTTAAATTGATATCCATAAATTATTAACTTTTGTCGCTCAATCAGTTTTTTTAAAATTCAAAGCATTGTCAAGAACTTTGTTTCCTGTATACTCATACTTCAAGTGTTCACATACCGATTATATCTTTTTAATGGTTTTTTATAGTTACCTGCCACTAATAAGTTTAATTACAGTATATCGATCAATCCTAATAAATGCTGTTAGTAATAGTAGAACCATTAATGTAAAATACAGTACTTAATTTACATAGCAGTTTTTTTTTCTATTTTCGGTCACATGAAATACATCCCCTTGCGTCATCCTTGTGCCACTCGTACAGTGTCT